ACCCCCCCCCCCCCCCCGACCCGGAAAACTTGGGCGAAAGCCTTGACCTTGTGAATCCGTGAATCTTCAGCTCTAACCCAGACTCCATCCTCCAACACAGCGCCTACCAACCGATTTCCTTTCTGCAAATTCATGGGCCAACTTGGGGCTAACGAGACATCCACTATCGGTATGTCGGGCTGGATAGTTATCGTCACTCAGGTGCCCGGTCCCATTCACTGGATCTCGAGAAAAACCAAAATTGCACGAAACCCTGACAGGTGTTCCTCCTGGTCGAGAGTACAATGCCAATACAATACAATACCGTCAGGCGTAGGCGTGGACTGAGAAGCCTGGCGAGTCCGGCAGCTATGGAGATAGAAGAAGCAAGAAATGCTGTGCACAATCTATGCCAGCTGATACGCGTAATGGGCCCAAAGAAGCCGCCGGTGAGCGAAATGATCTATGATACGAACGGCTCGTTTACCCGTGAAAAACAGCAGCGCCTGATTCATTGGACTAGAACTTGAAGACCAATTCAGTTGGCCACCTGCAGTTGCTCAGCCGAATTCCCGACTGGCAACGCAATCCTGGACCATGAACTGGGAGCCCTCGACGGCCTCAGAAATTAGCAAATGCGTTTTGTCCCCTAAGATTTGCTTAAGCGTCATAGAGCTGTGCTAGCCCTTATGAACTCCCGTCAGCGCCTTCCAGAGATGGAAGTCATATACTCAGCCGGTGCTTGTCTGACTGCCCTTATGAACGTCAGCGCCTTCCAGAGATGGAAGTCATCTACTCAGCCGATGCTTGTCTGACTTGTCGTTATCTGGACAAAAGAGACCGTCCGTGGAATCGATCTTCAAAACGTTCACCTTCAGCAGTAAGTGTGACAAACACATAAATTGGCTCGACCTCCGTTGTACCTAGACTCTGCGTTGCTTATTTCACGTTGTTATACGAAGGCGCGACAAGAGAGGACCCGGGAGCAGTAAGCCGGATTCTGACCGGGAAGGGGTTGTGTAATTCACATCTTCACGCTCCGTCAAGCTTAGGAGAATCGGCATTCGTCAAAGCGCCCTACAATTTTGGTGTTCCTTGACTTCAGGAATGGGTTCGACTCTGTTGACCGTTTGGTTTTTTTTCCAACTCGCTTTCGCAACAGGATATGCCCCGGAAGTTTGTGTACTGTCTGCATTCACATACTTGTGGGTACGTGAGAGTGTATGAAGAGCTCTTCAAACATGACGATAGTGTGATAGAAGGAGTGAACACACAAATCTAGGAGACCATAATTAAGTTTGCAAATTTGCGCCACTTGTGGCACCAAAAAGACACCGTTGGGTCTCGAAGGGCGTGTGCGTCATAATTCAACGCGGAGTGTGTTATTGTACGGCCGCGAAAGAGGCCGTCGCAACTGACTGGGGCGAATCGATCCTCAAAACGTTCACCTTGGCTACTAGGGGCGGAGTATCTGAGGTATTATAGGGTCTTTGACCACTAATGGCTCGAAACTTCTATCCTTTGGCTCACACATCTGATCCATGAGTCAGTGGGAGAAGCTGGGATTTGTTCTAAGGACCCTGCCGTGACCTGTGACTCAGCAGTCTCATCCGCGAGGCAGCAAGTCTCAAGGTTTTCTTGAAAATCCTATTTGAGACCAGTGACTCAATAATCCGACCCTCTCGCGTTGGCGGTGGTGACCTACCTAGCCAGTGAGAGGAGGGAGTGAGGCATACGTATGTGATCTATGATAGCAATGGCTCGCGTATGTGTGAAAAATAATAGCGCCTGATTCATTGGGCTAGACACCTTCAAGACCAATCCAACTGGCCACCTAAGGCATGAATATGTGACTCCTAATGTGACTATGCACAGTGGGTGCTTTCTGAGTGACATGATATTTTCGTTTTGAGATTATTTCAACCGTACAGAATAGTCCTGACCTGAAGCTACCACCTTGACGCACTTTGCTTCACTATATTCTGGTGAAAAGTCATCTCTGTGCCAGTCGGTTATCCGGGCCAATTAAGTCAAGTGCCACGACGTAAAACCCGGTGCCTGTTTGCTGTGTCGACATAGGCCCAAACGGACTGCGGTTCTGACGCTGATAAGGATCGTGTATATCGTTCCTTGTGGGGCACAACATGATTCCGATCGTGTGTACACGCCTGACAATGTACTTTTCTTCATTCCCTCGTTAACGGAAAGTAGCATGTCAATCCACCATCTTCGGAGAGCTACCATAGCTCAGTAGTATCAACCTGAGCTACTCAACTGCTCTGCAGTAAGTCAACATCGTACTGGTAATGAGCACACGCATGAAGCCTAACAAAATGTGAGATGAGCAATACTAGAGGCGTTCAGTGCTATCTGTCCGACGTCTCCGAAAGGGTTAAATGATCACTAGAGGTTGCCAGTCCCGAGTCGTTCAGCCGTAGCACCTTTCCAATGCGTAGCTACCATGCCACCTAAGGAAATCACAAGAGCTGAGATGCTGTCAGGTTGCGCAAACCTAGACAGGGGTAGTAGAAATGCAGAGGTTGGGCCGGAATCACGGACCTTCCGGTTAGTTAACTCGCGCTCTAACAACCGAGCCATCTCGAGCTAGTCCTGGGTAATGCCAGGAAATTCATAGTGGGTAACGAGTACGATGGTCACGCGAATCCCTCAAACGTCATATAGTGCAAAGCCTAGGGAAAAACTTCCATGCCACCAGAAGTAAGCACGATGGCTGGCATACTGCCAACTTGCCAAGCATAGACAGGGGAAGTTGAGAGGCAGATGTCGGGTTCGGACCACGGACCTTCCGGTCAGTGAATTCGTGCTCTTACCACCGAGCTTTGGTGGACGATGGAATCTCATGAGGTGGAGAGGGCTTTATCGCAGGAAACAGCCGTGCCCAAAACAACCCAATACGATTTATTGGCTAAAAGAATGCAATGATCAGTGAAACGATAAGCGGAAAAGACAGCTGATTAATTCATCTACAAAAACGATGACTGGAGGGATAGGCCGAAAACTTCGAACAACAGTTTAGTTGGCGTCCTGCAAAACGGCCACTGGAGTCAGTGCATGCGGGCCAATTGAATGTAAACTTCAGTCGCCCTTCAGAAGAAGACATAATGTACGGAGTATCCTTGCTTAACCCTGAGGAGCCAAAAGTATTGGACGGTCTGTATTCAGCCCTCCTCAATGAATGCGGGAAATTCCTTTTTACCCTATCTGACGAAGCCTATTGGGGCTACATGGAATGAGGATTAGGAACTTGTATATTGAGGCACATTGCTCCTCTGCGGGGAGGCTGAACGTTATCGTGGTGTAACGGTTTGTGTACTTCTACGACCCTCTCGATCTCGATAGTGAAGGGGTGGAAAAGTTACAGCACTCAACTAGTCAGGCGCAACCATCATAATAAAAGGCAAGTGGTAGATGTTCAGCGTTGAATAAGCAGCGTCAGTCAGGCCTTGCTGCCGCTGAAGATTACATCGTATGTGAGGCATTCCGCTTAGTCTTTGTGTACACTTTCTAAACCTAACTTTATGGGCAAAAAATATCCAGAAGCTAAAAGGTTTTGGCCATGACCAAGTTTGGTGAACAATGAAAGAGGGTATCTAGTAGTGAAATCCATAATCTTCGCCATGAACCACCACGTTTACCTCAGCTCCTCAAACCAAGGTCACAATGGTTTCAGTATCTACTACTCATCAAACAAAGCCTTTCTCCTGTATCAACGGTGGCCGCCTCGGAGGACAATCAGAGACGTTACTCACTTTAGTCACTGCGTAGTCTACAAATTCCGTCACTAGAAGTAACGTTTACCCATGGCCAGTGTGGATTTGGCAGCCGGTCGCCTCTCGTGGGCCATCATTATCAACTGTAAAAAATCACGTACCTGCTGCACACAGGTTTTGGCCGCCACAGTTTCGTTCGCCGGCGATTTGGGGACGTGGTGTAGATGAGTACGCAGTGGATGCGGTAGCTGATATAATTGGGGTGTCTGTTGATTTTTCATTTAGGAAACCTGGCGGGGAGCAACATTTTGGATACACGAGTGTCATCGATGGCGTGACTGGGTCATGTTTGGCAATGTTTCTAATGATTGATTTTTCCCGACTTGGGGTTCCAATCCAGAGAAAGGGCAACGATCAGCGCAGCTGAGCTTACTGATGGTAGCTCTCACCCTACGCTATCAGTTCATTGTTTTACCTCCCCTTGGTTCCTTTCCACACCTCGCGTGGTTGTGCGAATAAGGCTGTTCGAGACAGTCGACCATCTGGCATGTGGAGCGCATAACAAAGCCAGCGCAACCTATGGAGTGTGATTAGTTCATCCATCGTCATCTCCCGAAAACCATTCGACATTTTTCAGCACTGCTATGGCGCTCCCATCAGACTCGGGTAATGCTCTGAAGACATCGTTGGTCAAACACTGAAGGTTTTTTGATGTCCTCAGCGCACAGCAGCCAGGTATTTACCCATATACTAATACTGATATGGAGCTTTCACCTTCGGATAGGCCACCAGGTTGACGAATTTGTATACTGCCTCAATTGGCCCATCCGCATGCATGGGGATATCGTTCAAGCACTTAACACTTTGCCGGTGTGAAACGTATGCCAAACCGTGAGGCATGTTTATTTAGATTTTTTAAATATTATTTGCATTATCACGTCGTCAGATCCAAGAAGAGCAGTGTCATCTTCGTGCTCGATATCTGTGAGCGAACGCTCCGGGAATGCTTCGAACCCACTGTCATTAGGGACTGCTAGTGAGTTTTCCATAATCGTGTTAATGACGAAGCGGAAAAGATGAAAGAGGACATCCCTGCCTGATACCACTTAATGTGGTGCACTCAAGCGAGAGCTGCCCGTAGACTTTCATACGGCTGCGGGCCGTAGAGAGCCTTAAGGAGTTTCAAGAATTTATGGAAAACACCTTTTCTCCATAGTGTGTGACGGTCCACAGAGTCAAAGGCAACCTTCAAGTCATAGAGGATCACCATTGTTGGTTAATGGAAGCAACTTCGTTACAGAATCTGTGGGAGGGCGGAAATTAGGTCGATGCATCCCCTTGCAGGCGGAACCCAGCTTGGTTTTCGCGGATCTGTCTCTCTTCGTGCTAAGTCAACTTTCGAAGGATAAGACCTGAGAGCACATTTGATGCCACGATGGTTTTCGCACGACGTCTGCGTACCCCTTTTGAAGATTGGAATAGCTGTCGACGTGCCTTATACTGTAAGCACTTTCCACTCCATATTGCATCAGCGAGTGTTGTCAGATGGGTCACCAGGGATTCGCCTCCTTTGGATAGGTTTGGATATATACCGTCCAGTCTTGGTGTCTTCTCACGTTTCACTACGGATGTTTCCTGTTTTATTTCTTCTGATGGGCAGGAGGCGAGATGTTTCAAGTGTTCAAATCGCGAATTTACCGACCGGGAGGTCCGTGATTCGAACCCGATTTCTGCCTTAATTTCCTTCCCCTAGGTTTGGGCAACTTTGCAGTATTCCAGCCCTCGTGCTCCTTTTGGGTGCTGTGGCAGTTATGCACCGAAAGGGAGTTACAGCTGAATGATTATCTTTATTATTATCTTATTATCTGACGGGCAATGAAGCTTTGCTCTTCATTCGCCGGTATGAACGGTCTCCAGAGGCTGTGTTGGAGGATGCCAGCTAAGATGTTCTTCGAAGTGTTCAGTCCATCTCTCAAATCAGCGTTTTTGTGGGTGAATTAATGAGCCGTCTTCTTCGCTTGCCGTTTCACTGACCGTTGCTTTCCCGTGGTCATTCGAACGTATGAATTAGCGTACGACACGGCTGCTTCTGGTAGCAAATGTTTTCTTCATCCTCTGGCTTTCGATGTCCACCAAAGCCCTCGGTCTTTCCTTAGGCTCTCCACTATTTGGCATTTGGGGAATTGACGTGCACAGTCGTAATCGTCCCGTATTGGTATGGATTTTAATTTCCCCTGTCTAGGTTTGGGCAACTTTGCAGTATTCCAGCCCTCGTGCTCCTTTTGGGTGCTGTGGCAGTTATGCACCGAAAGGGAGTTACAGCTGAATGATTATCTTTATTATTATCTTATTATCTGACGGGCAATGAAGCTTTGCTCTTCATTCGCCGGTATGAACGGTCTCCAGAGGCTGTGTTGGAGGATGCCAGCTAAGATGTTCTTCGAAGTGTTCAGTCCATCTCTCAAATCAGCGTTTTTGTGGGTGAATTAATGAGCCGTCTTCTTCGCTTGCCGTTTCACTGACCGTTGCTTTCCCGTGGTCATTCGAACGTATGAATTAGCGTACGACACGGCTGCTTCTGGTAGCAAATGTTTTCTTCATCCTCTGGCTTTCGATGTCCACCAAAGCCCTCGGTCTTTCCTTAGGCTCTCCACTATTTGGCATTTGGGGAATTGACGTGCACAGTCGTAATCGTCCCGTATTGGTATGGATTTCCTGGCCGACCATGACTGTTGATCTCGACAATATCCGTTGGTCATCTGATTGTGTCGGAGAAGTCGGACAGACAGCTCTGAACGCCGCTAGCATATTTCGTTTCACTTTTTGTGCCAATTCTTGCAGACTTTCAAGGGCCTGATTGGAAACGAACTGTTAGGCATGCACGCACCACGGCGTGATCGGAATCAAGCTGTGTGCTTAGGAAGGAACAGCAGTCTTGACTTGTAAGTCTCCACTGATGGCTGATGGCTGCTTGATCCAGATAGGTCCACGGTTGATTTGCAGTCGATGGCCGCCAGGTTACGCGATGCGAACGTTTATGCTGAAAGTTCCTACTGGCAAGAAACTGTTGGTGATCAACACACTACTGGGGGAGTCGTCCTACGTTATCTGTTCTACGAGCATCGACTGTGAATTGACCGCCCAGATGTGATCCCCACTTGGGTATCACTCATAAGGATCACAACGTCTGCTTCTTGCTCGACGAATGGCCTGGAATAATTGTCGATTTAAAGTGTACCTTATAGCGTCAGAACTGCAGTCCGTTGGGGCATACGTCTAAAACAAACAGCCACCATTTTATGCTGGCAGGCATTTAGCTGGTTTGGGCTGGATAACTGAATGGCGCAAGGGTGACTTCAGTAGAATCCAGTCCAGCAAAACGCGTTTAACTGTAGAACTGAGTGCCACTTCTACGCTTTATATTCCACCAACCATGGCTTCTGGATCGCCGGACACAGGGAGAAATGTGAAAGCTGTGTTATTCCTTGGCGTTTTGATATGTATAACCACGCTTGGGTATTGTATACGTGTTTCAGAAACACATCATGCATCAATTTTAAGCAAGAAGGTCTCAGTGTGCAACCTTTTTGCCATTTGACACCGAGTATGGGTGTTAAAAGCTCCTATATAAACAGGACCTCATTGATTTAACAAAAGTATTTTTATTTATTGTTGTTAATAGGCAGTGGGGTACGTAAGGCGAATCGGCCAGACAACTGACAATCGAACGATCCACCAACGTTTGCTTCTGTGGTGGGATGGGGTTGGGGAGGGTCATTGGTGGACAAAGAACTGTGCAGGCAAGTGACACTTCCCGGTTTCCCCGGCCGAGGAAGGTGGGTTCTTTTGAAGTACCCCACCTTGAGCCTTTGACTTAAAAGTCTGACCCATAAGGCAGTGGGAGGATGTAGACTTTTACTCGATAGCTGTTATCCGAGCCATTTCTGTAGTAGGCTTACTGTTACTTAGAAGATAGTTGTCAAAAGGTGGATTTCTGAACAGTTATTGGCATTTTACTTTGTGATCGATGCATATACGTTTTCTTTTTTTGTAGTTTGTGGGAACAGTGCCTTTCTGCGGTGCATCCGCACTCCCGAAATATTTGTAAATGCTGTTCTCACATGTCTGGAAACGAACTTCAATTGAGTGTGTTCCATCATGACGATTGCAAACTTCTGTCACAATTGGACTGGTGAGTTTTGTGTTTGGCTAGTTTACTCATATTCTGCCAACGAAATCATCCGGGTACTTTGCAACGCTCCCTCCACAGACCGTCCTCTTATCACATCTTTGTTGCCTGTTGCGGATTCCTGTTATCAAGAGGCGTCTACCATAGTTCTCATCGAAATCATTCTCCTAACTCATGACTCCCATATGGTAATCAGAAAATGAATAAACATGCCTGATTTGCTGCAGGTTGTCCAGTTTTTTACACTTATGTAAACACGTGGGAACACATGGATGGTGTAGGCTTAACCATCGAGTCAGCAAGCAAGGCATATTGAAAAAAATTAATACGAAAGCAAGATAAAGGGTTGAACTCGAGATGGCTCAGTTGTTGAAGCGCGAATTCACTGACCGGAATGTCCAGTGTTCGAACCCAACATCTGCATCTCGACTGCTGCTGTCTAGGTTTTGGCAAATTGGCACTATCTCAGCCCTTGTGTTTTCTTCGGGTGGCATGGCGCCTGAAGGGTGTTTCATCTGGGTTATTGTTACTGTATTAATAATAAGACAAAAGATAGAAACGAACAAGGTTTGTCTTTGGCTGTCTCGACTCTGGAAATCCACACGTAGTTCTTATTGCAAAGAAACTATGAACCATGCATGAGTGAACTGAAGAAGTTCGAAGTAATTTTACGGCCAATGGCTAGAGAGGTTAGATGTTCCACCAGTATATGTCAAGATCGGCCACAGGTTTCAGGTAAGAAAAGCTAATTTCAGTGAAGTTTTTGCAGCGAATTGGAAACACCATTATTTCTGGCGGGATGTACTACTCATAAGGTTTCTGAAAAACTTCTGTGAAAGGGGGGGGGGTTGTCAGCAAACTTGAGTAGCGCGTTCCGCCATCAAACTGTACTGCAGCACATTCAGGAGGTTCTGCTGGACTCAGTTGAATCTTCCATTGAAACCAAATTAGCTCGCGAGCATTAGTCCCAGTTTTTTCGCCATGGCCGTTGAGGGTGAACAAGATCTAGTACCATTTGGTTTCATTCACAAGGCTGTCTGTGGTTAGGCGGCAGTTTACAGATGACCACCGAGCCACAGTCAAGAAATGCCAACATAATGCTGAAGTATAGATATATATGCTACGGAGCAAACAAAAAACACGAAAACTTCAAGAATATATGGAGCTATCCGCCCTCATTTCCTTAGACCGACAAATTTTGGCATTCCTTTGTGATTCCTCATTGCCATAGACAAAGAGCACTGTACGTTTTTCGAAAGTCCGTCACTTATGTAACACCCGTATTTTGCCTCCCACTTACAGCCAAAAGGCTTTCGAAAGTGAGAATCCCAACCTAAAAGCCTCATCAAATTTTTTCAAGGAAATTTATGATCCACCACCAAGTGCTTGTCTTATATCCTACTCAATAATTGGAGCCCTACCGCTTATCCTTTTCAATCTACTTCGCGGGAATGAATCACGGCTGGAGATCTGAATTAGAAACAATAACGTTGAAGTCGTAACATTTTCCATATTTCATCGTTATCACCCAGTTTACGGTTGGAATCGTGGAGGCTTTGAGTATACAGACACTTGAGATGTATTAGTTATTGATGGTTTGTTGTCGTCGATGAGTGCCAAACAGAACCATTCATGTATCTCTTTAATTCCCTACGTCTGTTTTCACTTTTACTCGATAGTCGGTCTTTTTTCAGCCAGATACTTTGTCAACTAGGTGCTTTTGGTCCTTTTGCGCGTTCAGTGTATACGAGTCATGTCATCCCACAGGGCTCTGCTTTTAGGAGGATTTGTAGTTTAGTATCCTGGTCCGATTGGCCCTCAGGTGGCGTAATCTCTGATAGCTTTGACTTCACACATGGTCTAACCACTCGTCCCAGCAGACGGAACACATCGTCATTTTATGTTTTAATACCCGATGAAACAGTAAATCAGCCCATTTAGTTCTGAAAATATCTAATAAACCAAATTGGTTTGAAAATGAGTGTATTTCGCCATTCGGTTATGTTTCAGTGTTCGTTTGTAATCCTAAGTAGCAGGCCAAAATGGACTAGCTACTCACTTCGCACCACAGACACGTCTGATCCACTGTTGTTCTATTAGTTAACGCTCGTTCTTTTATGACTCTCAACTGCCTGGCCTCAGCCTACTGTCAGGGTTTTGGTATTGAGAACCATCTACTCAAACCCCCGCGCATGCCGCATACTTTAGAAAAGGTTGCTAATAAATCCCTTTATCAGGAAGAACATGAAGCCCACTGTAATTAGCCTTCTCCGTTTCAGAATCCGTCAACACTTGGTTATGAGAATAGAAAATGTCGGAAATTATTTTTATTAGTATATGGTTATTGCCTTTTCGACTCTACAGCCTCCTAATGAGGATTAAATCCACAGTCGTGCTTCACGGAGCAGCGATGCTTGGATGGTTATTCCACAAAAAGTATAAAAAGACAAGTCAAATCGTAATTGGCGCATGGGTGCTCCGTAGTCGTATTCTCGAATTTAATTGGGCGTTCAACCGGTGACTCAACCCAGAGAACCAGCGAATCACATGAGACCTTCATAAGTTTTGTGAAATGATTTCTTTCAGAACGATAACGTGAGCTGTCTATGGATGTCTGCTCTTATCTTTGCGCGGGTTTCAGCTTCTCAACAGTTTGACACACTCCAGACCGGTATCTTAGAGAGTCTGAAGTTACTGACTGTAACTCTCACAGACAACTTCGTGTATGGGCGATTATATGCAAACAAGTCGTAAATTTCGTGCTCTAGTCGATTTGATTCTACTTGTAGTTCAAACTATGGAATACCGTAAGTCAAGGAGTGGTTGATTAATTACCCGTATAAAGTATGCTTGTTCGTAAAAATTCGGATCCTGCCCTCTCCCTGTTGGCTCTTCCCTGTGAAGCTGGTTTTCAGTAAATGTGAAAACTATAGACCTTGGACGCTGCGTCTCTGTTTCGTTCTCTTAGTTCTCCGTTCCTATTTGATTGGCGCGCATGCGAGAAAACATCTGCCATGTACTCTTTCTGAACACTGCTGTCTAGATATAATGTAAAGTTTCAACGTGAACTGTTTAGCTGATTTCCTAGAAAAGGGTTTTGGGAGAGCTCGAAAAGTAATGCAGTCGAAAAAGCGTACACGGGAGGACGACGTCTCGAACTTGTGATTTTTCGGTGTCGAACAGTTACCAATTAGGTTATTCGGCCACTTCGCATACATGCAGTTGGACTTTGCATTGGTCAAGGGCCACCAAGCTATTCCTGGTTCAACATTGTCATTGGACCGTTTGAAGAAATTCCACAAGGGTCCAAACTTTGTCATTATGTAAGTAAGCGAAAGAGAAATGCATTCAACTCGACTAAAAGCATGCACTTGTGGATGGTGATAATTTGACTCCTAATGAAATTAAAAATTCCACAGATAGAAGGCGGTGATACGGAGCATTCAACGCTTCAGTCCTAAGCATAGGTACGTTAATTTGTTAGTTCATGCTCGAAATAGCTCATCGGTTAAGGCACGAGCTCACTGACCGGAAGATCTGTGGTTGGAATCCGATCTGTGCATCTCAACAGCTTATGTCTATACTTTGGCAACCCGGCAGTATCTCTGCACTTGTGCTCTCCTAGGATTGTATGGCACCTAAAGGGTGTTACAGCTGAACCATTATATTGTTATATTTCGGTCCATGCAGTGTTGGCATCGACGTTACACAGCATTTTCTGAGCCTGAGGACCACTGCAGGCACGCTGAAGATCAGCCACCCAGGTGGCTAATACCGGAATGCACATAACAGAAATTGCTTATTGCAACAAGTACACTCATTTGCAATTCCCTTTGGTTTTCATGGGATACTCAAGTGAATCTCTCGTTTATGATGAGCGCCAAGAAAGGCGAAACTGGTCGCGGGCTGTCGAAGATTTTCAGCAACCTTTAAGAAGTTGCTTATCTGTGGACCACAACGACTGCAGTTCACCGCACCAGTGGATATAGTGCTGGTAAATGCCTCCCGGTACGGAAACAAACACTCATTTTCAAATTAGGATGATGGGGAGATCCAACTGGATCGCCCTTCATACGATAAGAACCTCGGGAAGCCCTCTCACTGTCCCACCCTTGTTAGTGGTCAGGTCACCGACCCTCCATCAATCGTATTTCACACTTGATAGAGATCCGCCGATCAGGCCTACCTGATAGGACCTAACGAGGAAAAACTCGCAATACGCTATCCAGGGATTTCTACAAAAACTTACAAATCCTGTCCTGCTGCTTCGTTGTTTTGAATATTGTCCTAAGTGAAGCATGCGTTAAAGTTGAAGAATATTATAAATAAGAAATTGAGTCCACTTCTCCGTTAAAGTCACTTTAATTTGAAAATAAGCGTTCATTTCAACCTATTTCCGATTCGGCAGAAAATTAAAATAGTTGGTAATTCAGAGACTAGACAGGTAGTTTCAATGCAAAAATTGTGTGCTATGAATGCCCGTAAATTCAGATATTCCTCTAGATCCGTTTTACTGTAAAACATTATTCACATTTCCTGTTAGTTGTGTCGCTAAGTTGCGGTGAATCCATGTTTATCACAGTCCCATTTCCCTTGTTTTCCTTTGTTTCCAGTCTAGAATTTGGAATATTTAAACCAGAAGCAGTTGAACAGGTCGATCGGCGTCGGTTACTTGAACGAGTGAGTTGCCAGACCATTCTGTCAGCCTTTTTTCCAGGCTGTGCTCTATTTTGACAGCATTATTGCACACACAGTTCTGGAGATCGAGAAGGATCGTGCTCGCGAAGAAGCAGATGCCTTAGCCGAACTGGAATTAAGTGCCCGTGAAGAGGATTTATCAGCTGTTCGTTTTCGAATCTACGAGGACTACGCCGAGCGCTTTAATAAGCTTATTGATCCTAAGGTTTACCTCTATCTAGGACACTTTCAACTCCTCCTGCACCGATTCGACGATGCACTCTCTGCCTACCTGAAATACGAAGCACTGTGTCCTGCTGATTCTACTCAAAACTGTGCTTTTCTCTACGGTTTCGGATTGTGCGCATTCCGTTTCAACGCATTTCACAAGTAGTTGACCATCCTAACATAATCTTCTCTTCCCTCGTTATAGGACTGTGCGTTTGTTTCAGCAAATCCTCTATTTGCAACCCTGGTTTCCAAAAGCTAAGGAGCTTCATATTCGCCTGGGATATATTTACAAACTACAACATAACTTTGACAAAAGCTTGAAACATTTTCGTCAGGCGTTGAACGATTCTTCACCTTCCACGTTCAGCAGAATTGAAAGTAAACTTACTGTTTAAGGGGATAATGCGTTTTGCTTTTTTCACTCCTTCAGTACGCTTTCACATTGCCCATTTGTTTGAAGTCTGCGGAAAGCCCAAGCAGGCCAGCTTGGAATACAGACAGCTATTGGACACGGAGAAGAACCACGCTCCGGCCCACATTCGACATCTTTGCTTGCGGCAACTTGGTAGGTGAAATATTATCCGGCTTCTTCATGTTCGAACGCTGAAAGGCCTGCCTTTGGAATTTATTGCACTTGTTCGAAATGTCACGCACTACTAGTCATGCTTTTCACCTCGAACAGTAATCACTTCCCAACCTCACCCACATGCTATTTAGTGGTCACCTCAGAGGTCGTTTCCATTATTGAACACCAACCGATCTGTGCTGTGCTGTGCTATGTGCTTTTGTTCACACGAGGTTTAACGTAATATGTTCAACCTCACGACTTTTCCGGCCACAGATGCAGCTGGCAACCAGATGTCTCACTAATCTTCCAGGATCCAAGCTAGTAGACCTTGGGTTTGGTGGTGACAGGTCAGCTGACAGCAGAATCAGTGCGGATTTTTCCGAACGGCTTAACGATCGACGTTGTTCGTTACAGAAGGTTTTTACACCATTATAATGTCAAGTACTCCTTCAAGACTGGGACACTACTTCGCCTTCAGTCACTCTAAAATTCAGCGATCTGAAACACTTGAGTAGATCGCGGAGAAATCTGTGAAGTCTGGCTACGAATTGCGAAGACTGCGTTTATGTTTGCAAACCTAGGACACCTTTGAAGGTTGCAAGATATTTCCTCTCTGGAAAAGTGCACCTACACTACCATCGTAGGAGTGGTGGACGTGAAACCTCGCCGCTACGCACCGAGGCGGTTGAGTGTTTGACCATAGATGTGCACACAGTGTCCATTGCAGTTGGTGGGAGCACCGTGACTAACAGTGGGGTAATAATTGGTCCGGATAAATCCATACTAGAAGGCTTGATTGGGCTTCATTGTTTACAGATGTAAGGCCTGCGCTAAGAATGGCAACTGCATTTGGTACTGGATTTCCTGTATTATCTTGAAAACCAGTGTTTTGTCGAGAAGGATGAAGCTAATATCCTTCCTAAACAACGTGGTTTACCACCAAACGAGAAGCATGTTGATGGTCTGTACTGATTTTGTGGAAGAAAATTTACAACTACTTCATTTGAAAGTTTAATTGCCGCTCCTTTTCCGTCAGCTTGGTTACATCATACTGGTGCCTGTGTGGCGAAAGGTGAGGGAGCTCCGGAGAAAGGTTTGGATGTGCAGTGGCTACAGAGTGCTCTGGAGTTGGATAACACCAACGGAAAAACTTGGTATTTATTGGGACGCTGTCAGGCTGCACTAAACCGAGTGCAAGAAGCTTTTGCCGCCTATCGAAGCTCAATTGACAAGACGGAGGCGAGTGCAGATACCTGGTGAGTGGTCAGACCTTGTGATATTTTTCGTCACTGTGGTTGTTTTCTGGTATAGAGACCTGTCCATTGATGCAACCTGGTTGAATTCGTTACTGGCATTCAGTATTTTCATGCCATGAAAGGCTTGGTTCCGTTTCTTGGCCTAATGACCACCTGCGCTTCTAAAGGGTTCTCTGTACAAGCTTAGAAGTGCGTTTACGAACTCATCATCTCAGGCCTTCTGACGTTTTTGTTTCAGCTGTACTCTTCTACCCACAACGCACCCTTCTGGTTCAACCTCTTACAATCAGATTATGAGCAACTATTTTTGATCACAGCCGATATTGCACCTGGATTCCTTACACTGACACTATTAGGGATCTCTGTCTCCGTCTGTCCTCGTTCACGTTTATCCTTAGACCCTCACACAAGTAACACAGCACTGCCTTCATTTGCCCTTTAACTTCTGGGGACTCAGCTAGTTACCACATTCTGTTGCCGCTCTTAGTCGGGTGGCTGTTGATCTGCGCGCCAGTTCTGGTAGCAGGCTCGCAAACATATCATCATTCGAAGAGGCATGGTCAGGCCATAGACACTGATGTCTTCTTTTGCCATTTGTGATTTGGAATTCGTTTCTGTGGTTGGGCTGCTTCCTATGATAGTGGAAATCATGAGCTCTTTGGAAAACACGTGGAAGTTCTGGTCCTTCGTAAATAGTAATTGTTATCACCTGCTACAGTATTCGGATTGCTCTAATTCCTTTTCATCTGGGACTAGCCAATTGCCGTATTTTTCTGCTTCCGGTTAACTTCATTGTTTAACCATGTGCAGGCTTTCACTCTCTATTACTGACCCTAACATATGTTTTCCTCCCCCACTAGGTGCTCAATTGGTGTGCTCTACCAAGAACAAAGTCAGCCAATGGATGCACTCCAAGCGTACTTTTGTGCTGTTCAATTGGACAAATGTCATGTTGCTGCGTGGGCTAACCTCGGCACACTGTATGAAAGCATGCAACAGTACAAGGAGGCTCTCAAATGCTATAAGAATGCTGTGAATGCGGACAAAAACAACGAGGTGAGCTCAGTCGCATTTAGGTACTTCAGGCGACTACCCGTGGGTCTGCATATAACATGAACTGCATCCAAGTCGATCAACTGGTTCCAGATCTGAGACCCTGCCGTGGACCATATCCTGCGGCGATGCGTATCCGACTGTCTTTCAGGACATCGTAGGAATTTGTATATCCATCCATATAGTTAACCTGAAACTGCTGATTGCACCGTATTTTGTTGCAGATCGAGGTCACCAAGTCATTCTTTAGCTCATATTAATGTAGTGTGATGAGCATGAGCATATGAATATGATTATGTCTGTTTTTTTTTCAGAATCTGTGCACTCGTCATAGGCACCAGTAACAGCAGCACATCATTAGTCAATATGAGCACTTAATGCACTTTATCACATGGTGTCTTCCGCTACATACAACCAATAATGAACGATGACGCTCTCCTTGTTAGGCCGCGATGGACCCTGCGTCCCTGACCTATTAGTATGTTTGAGGTCTACTGTTCGATCTGGAATATGCAGACACATCGTTCTCATGTTCGAAGAGGCGGCGAATCCGTACGAGGCAGTTAGAAAGCGTGTTTTCGGTTGTGTAACGGGTACTTCCATTGAAGAATTTGTCCAGCATCAGAAGCTGCGTTTGTTGAGACATATGTTACGTATGTCTAACCATCGTTTGCCGAAGAGAGTGCTGTTTTCCATGCCCAACTCAGGGTGGCAGAAGCAGAGAGGTGGCCAACCCTTGACTTGGCAGAGGGGTATGAAAGAAATCACGAAGCGTTTGGGTGCTGTCGGTGCCACTGGCCTTCCAGAATGGGAACCGTGTGATCCCCACTGCGACTGGTTGGAGATGCTGCAAGATATGGCTGCCAACCGATGTCAGTGGCCTTCTTGTTGTCAGTTTCTACCCAGGTTGCCTGAATGAGTGGAGGAATGATTGTGGTAAGCTAGCACTAAGTCCCTTCCCCGTCCACCTCTTTTCTTCACAATACGGCTTTCGTAGTTGCACGGCAGTGAAGCATCGCTGTTGAACACTGATGTCGTGCTGTCGATGGTGATGAGACCTGTATTTACGTACTAATGTATCAGGTCCCACCGCCAATGCGCAGATGCCTACCACGCCCCAGGTCATCAGTGGATGAAATTGTGGCACTCACAACCACTGTACGACGAAAATGAGATTCTCAGCCGTACTGGATTTAGACGCCGTGGGTGTCATTCTGCTATCCGGCGTTCCTCTATCAGTGAGTGGCCTTTAAGTCAAGGCGAACATCTGGGCATCAGCTACCGCGCGGTTTTACCCCCTGACTATTGGTAGTTTTGGAATACGGATTTTCATCAGGTTCTTTCGGCAAAACCCAGAAACGAGCTTCCCTTTTAGCAGTAAGAGTGCTTTCTGAGTCACCACCTCTTC